TTTAACATATAACTTCTATACAAATAATATAAGCAATATAAATCAAACTCCCTCAATACATATCCTTGAACCTTGTTGTAGTACAAAAATAAACATTGTATTTAAAATTCATTAAAAATCATTAAAAATTCTTTAACAATTTTGTAATTTGAATAATTACTATTGCGGTGGTAATTTTTGCATTCTTTAAAATAATAAAAATGCATGTCGCCCAAATTCCGCTCACAACTGCGTTATTGAATGTAGGTTCTGTGTTTTCTAGACTGTTATTAGCTAGAATGAGAACAAGTGTGGAAATCACTATTAGGAATCGACACAAAACTATAGAACTTCTCAATCCTCGATATTACTTGGCAAAAGCAATAAAGGGCCCATTGGTTGACATTCATCCAAATGACGCCAACACCTCGTACGTAATTTCTATGAAATTTCTACAATTACAGATAACGATAATATAATTATTGCCATATATTGATTCTAAATTATAGAAAATTCGAAAACAATGTTATTTCTCGAGGGATGCTTTCATATGAAATATGGTGTGGCAATAACTGTTCTTCACAATATCTAGTAGTTACTTGGGCTGTAAGTCTTCATTATCACTAGACGAGTATAACGTAGAAATTTAATATTAAATTTATTAATTTTGAAAATAGGTTAAAGCTTTTAAAGGCCAAGGTAAAAATTCAGCAACTGCAACAATACAACCTCACCCCCCAAAAATAGAAAATGAACACAATGATTACAAATTCTATCATGCAAAGAATAAACGAATATACGCAAATGATACTATTAACCTGGGCACCAATAAAATAGGTAAATACTCTTTCCGTATTACTGGAGCAATTGATACGAGGTACATATAGTTAATTTTTTTTAATTTTCTATATGAATTGAACATTAATCTATCCTTGAATTTTAGTCGCCACGCAAAGCTATGTATCACTTTGGTTGAGTAATGAAATATATATTGTATTCATGCTCATTGCTACAAGAATATTGTGATACCGAAATATCGTGACCGATCACGTGAAAAATGCACGAAATGCAATAAGTGCAACAAGTTACATTTG